AAAAAAAAACTGGCGGCTCGCACTATCGTAGCTGATACGATAAAGCGTTTTTGTGTAACCCTGTCTAACCGACGCATGTGCAACTCTGTTCAGGAGAACCTTGCTGTTTGTTAATTTTGGCACCAAAAGTTTATTGTTTATGTTCCCCAAATTATCAACTTTGTCGGCAAAACTTTCACTTGCCCGCACACGACCTAGACATGCGCGGGAATGAATTTATAAGCGGACAGAAAGCATTATCTTAAAATTTCAGTCTCCTGGATTTTGTGGTTCCCTAATTAATTTTGGCATCAAAATTTACACATATCCATACCTGAGGGGTAGGTGTGCACAACGCATGAATTGATATGAGAGTAAGAGCATCATTTTAAAATTTGAGCTTCGTAGTTTTCATGGATCTCGAGTTATTGATTTTGGCGCTAAAAATTTTACATGTCCTGAATTGAGAGCTAGGGCATTCAAGGAAGCTGAATTTGAGTTTGTCATGTTGTTGAGGGGAAAATCATGCATGTCAGGAGTGGTTAGCAATACTAATTGAAAGTGAGAGGTAAGTCGAACGGTTCTCCATTGTAGAATGTACGCGATGAAAAAGGAGAATATATTACGAACAAAAATTCCAAAAGAAATTGAAATATTGAAGAATGCGACAGAGAATAACTGCAAGCAAGTCTGCAAATACGTTGATGATGTAAGTCACAAAAAACGCTCTAGACATTTCATCTGATTCAGTTTTGGAAACAGTAATCCATTTACCAAGACTGCTCATGCTGTCAATGTGGGTATCCCATGTTAGTGATAATACTGGATGCTTTCAAACACTGGGCGCAGCCTTTCGATCCTGTATTGCATTATCCCCAGCTGGTACCCACTGATATCACTTAACTACATGATATGTAGTTATAATCTCTAGATTCGTTCCAACGAAGTGCAAGGTGAACTTATTAAATGAGTCTCATGCGTTTTGATGCAAATCCTATTATAATTTTCCTTTGTTAGCTCCCATTCATTAATTACATAAAAATCGCCAGGACAATCGACCAGAGCGTCATATTTTAGTGATAATATCTGATTATCACGTTACTTTGAAGTAGTGATACTCGTTAGTAAAGTGTTAGAAATTTCAGGGTCAACACGGGGAGTACCTATTTGTTATCATGACACTGCTCGGTAAGGATCTGTCGAGACTGCGACGAGAAAGAAAGAGCAAACAATTTACTTTAAGTACGGCACTTCGCGTTGGACTTTTAACACTGTCAGCAATAAAGGAACTCCATCAAATTTCGGTTGTTTCAAGGCTCGTGTTCTTGATTTTTTTGCTAAATTTCATACTTGTCCAAAAAACGGAAGAAACTGACATTGGAAAGACATTTTTTTTATTTTTTCTTTAAATGGGATCTCATAATAATTTTTACTCGCTGTTAAAAATAAATCTTCTAGCCCGTGTAGCACCTTAGCAGGATTGGTAACGCTCAAGATTATTTGTTAATGCACAACATGCAACAGTACATTCTGAGAAGGCTAAAGCCTCGCCAAATGCTTTTGTTCAGGAGGACTCCAGACGACAATCGAATAGCCCTACAGATTGACCATCAGGTGATGCATCAGTGAAGTGAAATACTGAACACACCGAAACATTCCTGTTCATCAGATTCTCTTTTAATATATTTTTGCTTTTTATGTATACATATCATTATCAACATCTTTACTGTCACTGCAGTGGAAAAAGATGCCAGCTTTTGGAAAATCTTGCTATGTATTATGTTTCGTTAAAGTACCGAGGCATTTTTGAAAAAGCAATACAGCAGAATCGAAATGAAGCATGTTGAATTAAAATTCTTCATATAGAAGCTCTAAGACTGTTTCGTTTGTATTCCAAGATAAAGAAATTAGAATCGGTTATTTCAGGGATATCAAGCCAAGCAATTTTGCACTGGGACGCGGTGAGAATTCAAGAAACATCTACATCTTTGATTTTGGACTTTCTCGGTTTTACAAGGATAAGGTGAGTTTATGGATTCTAGCGACTCATTTTTGCATGATTTTTTTTTTGCGTAACGAATGCATGATTTTGTCAGCTAAGGTGACAAAGCCCTAGAACTACAAAAATCAGGAATCTGAAACACTGAATGCACGATCCTCAGTCGAATACGAGGTCAATAAAAATGTTGAGAATACTGTATACAAAGCTAGAAAATGTTGAGAATGTGGTATTTCTGAGAATGTACACGTGGTCGGTAAAATTATTTGAAACACGATTTCTGAATGTGTATGCTCGAAAAGAACTAAGAGAGGTAGAAGGCCTGAAAAAAACTAGACGACCACTACTGAGACAGCTCCCTCTCCGTAAAGCAGAGAGTTTCTTCTTTATGAGTTGAGCGATTTAAAGGATCTTAGCCACTGAAATGTTCAAATTTTGAAACTGGCTACTTATTCGGAATTCTATTTCGATACCAGTGTTGCCTTGTTTTTGATGATTTTGATTTCAGTCGCACTAACTTTCTGTACAATTGTAGAGCGGTGTAATGATCCCGGCAAAAAACCATGCAGGCTTTCGAGGAACCACACGCTACGCATCTGTAAGAGCGCATCAAAAACAGGAGCTCGGTTCGTGTTTCTTTTTTTCAAAGAATTTCTTTCAATTCTTGCGTCAATATTCGCTGTGAAATTTCATTCCCAGTGCAGATAAGTGGGTTCGAAGTGGTTAAAAATCAAATTTCCATATTTAAGGGGTGTTACACTGTAGTTTAAATGCCACGCTTTGATCAACTAATCTGGTTATTTTGTTGTACAAAGCATTCCATTTTTGATCAGTTGTTGTTTCGTCGCTGCACTTTTTATGCGTTTTTGCCGTGCAGCGC